TTGACCAGGACTCTGACAAGGACTCTGACCAGGACTCTGACCAAGGACTTTGACCAGGACTCTGACAAGGACTCTGACCAGGACTCTGACCAAGGACTTTGACAAGGACTCGTTTCCCCCAGTGGGCTGTTTTACAGCACCACCGTAGAGGAAGTGAGGTGTGTTTGGAGCCTCTGATGTTCATCATGACGACATCTTTGGTTATTTATCAGACCATCTGGTCCCTTTCCGTCAAATTTAGAACAGCAGCCATCTTTAAAAACACCTCGAACAGTTACAGTTAATAATGCTACACGCCACCTGAATAATGTTAAAATAATTTAAGGTTTTTAACGTAGGCAGATAAGGAAACAAAACCAGGCTGCAGGATTATCAAAGCCAGGCTGTTGGCCTGGTTCTGGAGCAGGCCATCTACATCGGTTACCGTGGTAACAGATGCTTTTACAACAACGTGCCGTTTCTTGTCTGACGCGCTTGTTCAAAAAAGGAATCTGCTGATATCAATGTGGTGCTGATGTGAACTTTATTCACATCAAAAGCATAAACGACATTTTCAAAATATAACTTGTCAAAACGTAGATTACAGCGATTTGCATTGCGGTCAACAAAAAATACAGCGGCCCACTCACCCACTCTCTGCCACTGACACTCCCACAGGTGAGTAATCTGCCAAATTACAAAACCCCTCCCAATCTAATTGATCCAATCTCCCACAAACAAACAACCAAAGCAACAAATAAAAACAAAACTATAACAGCTATAAACCAGACATACAAGCATCAAAACATCTTTTTATTTATGGCTCCTACAGATGTGGTAAGGTAAATCGAGGCTTATTTAATCCAGGATATACAGAAAATCCTGGTTTCATTCACCCTCTCAGTTCAGTAAAACAGGCCTCAGGTGATAATCTGTGTTAGCTGGTTTAATCCCTGGTCATAATCTAATCAAATCAATCTGCTGGCAGCCTCCAACAAATCTGTGACTACATCTGATCTAATGAACGTCAGACTTTGGAAACGTTTGAGTTGATAGAAAAGGATGAAGTCTTAAGGTGGAACTGATCTGAGGCTGGAAGGTCAGAGTTGGTCTGAGCAGAACCAGAACTCTGTGTTTCCGTCTCAGGTCGCTCTGAACCTGCAGGTCAAAGATGGGGGCGGAGCTTACCGTCATGTCCCGAGTTGAGCAGGTGTTCTCCCAGGTCGCAGCCGAACACGCGCTCCCTCAGGATCCCCCGCTGCTTCAGCTTCTGCTTGGTGGGCCTGGACTTCATGAAGGAGCGCAGGAAGGTGATCAGCTTACCGTGCTTCTTAGACACTGCAAGGAGAGAAACGGGTCAGAAGAACCGCCCGGGTCCAATCCTGTAACTCCTCCATAATCTGGTATTTTCTAAGCATCTGCAGCAGAGACTGGAACATGTGAGTCTCTCTCTGCTGCAGGCCGCTGCTCATCCAGCTGCTCAACAGGAAATTAGAAATATTTTCCTTGTTGTCTTCAGGAAATAACAGAAAGTTTTAAGGTTTCTACATCCAGCAGCTCAGAAAACCTCAATAAAATAAAAAAACAAAAAAATAAGCAGATTTTTTCCCTAAAGCTAAATAATTTCTGATTGTTCAGCAAATAAAACAGACTTTTATTATTTGCTGCAAAGAACAAAGAGTTTAATGAGACTAGAGCTGCAGCCATGTTTGCTGGGCTGATGTGAGGAGATGAAGCCTGGCAGTGTTTCCAGCTGCTCACATCTGCAAACAACAGAGCAGTGTCCACCAATGAAAAGACAGCTGAGCTCACAGCTGCTCCTCTGGCGCCATGACATCACACTGGGGACAAAAGTTTCATTTCATCATAAAACATTTATCTGTTCATGAAAAGATGCAGAAAACAAACAGCAGCTCCCGGTTCTGGTTCCGTTTAATTCGGAATTTTATTATTTTATATAATGATAATAAAAGTATAAATAAACTCTGAGCTCCTTTATCCTCCAAACTGATCAGCTTTCCCTCCCAAACACTAAAGGCTGTTTAAAATATAAACTAATGCAGCTACGGAAGCCGGTTTGTGACCAGAGAAGCGCGTTCTGTCCTATAAATGTCCACTATGATACCGAGGGAAACCCGAACCGGACCGGTCCAAACCGGTTCCTACCTGCTCCCCATGCCAGAACAAAGTCAGCCAGAACTGAACCTCTTCAGTAGAGCAGGAGCTGCGGACCGGAGACCCGACCACCGCCTCTGACCTCACAGAGCATCACCTCGTGAAGCGTTCAAGTGGACTCGGAAATCCTGACTCCACCCCTAAGCCCTTAGCTTTTATTTTAACTCCATTTACAGTGAAACAAGGGTGCCGCCAGGAATTTGGGGCCCCATGAAAGACATTTTCAATTAATTTTTTAATTACATAATAAATTTTTACTGTACAATTTTAACAAATGAAATTATCCTCACACGAAAAAGTTACCGGTACATTTACATTAACTTTAAACTTTACATTAAAAATCATCCTTCGTTCTGCTGTTTAATCCTGAAAGATCAGGGAGAACACAAAAATTACTTATTTTGCTGCGGGATTTTCTTCTTATATTTAAAATATCTAGTGGGACATATGTTTTCGTCTTTTGGGGCCTTCCTGACCTTTCCCCCCATTCGGTGCCTCTGCAGTGTAACGCAGGAATTTAAACAGATTTTTTTCTGTTATAATATTTCAAAGTTTCCTCTTTAACTAAACTGTTCTCAATACTATAACCGAGATGATATTTTTCCACCTTTAAACCTATCAATACACTAATCAACACATACAAATGAGGGTCAGTGAAGGCATCATTGAAATCTAAAAGTGAACCACAGCAGTGAGAACATCCAAGATGTTCATTGTCTGGATGGTGGAAGATCAGCCTGACTGGAAATGAAATCAAATCCATCTGCTGATGCTATGAAACAGCCAGTGTGTCAAAGTGATGAATTTATCTTTATTTTAAAAGTCTTAAGTCCCCCTGAAAATGAGAACATCATCTTTGTTCGATGCTGCGGGGCACATATTGTTTACATTGTGACCAATATGTACCAATATGGCAGCAGGTGGCTTCACTTCAACCCCAAACTACCAATGGGTAATCAGCAATCCAGGGTATAAATAGAGATCAGTGGACAAAGCAAAGCGCAGCAGCAGTTTTTCCAAAGCTATAGCTAATCTACTAAGAACCGTCACACATAAAGTCCATTTATCTTGAAATGACACTATCCTCCCTTGATTTGATCCAGTTAGTAAGGCAGTTTGCCAACAGAGTTAGATGATTTTAGATAAGAGTCAGATAAAATAAAGCCAATTTAACTGAATAATATCAATTCATCCATTTTCCATCATGGTTGATGGTGCTCTCCAGCTGTCAATGGGCGAGAGGAATGAATAATATCTAATGATCCTATTTTAGGGCGACACCCTTCATTCCATTGGCCGATAGTCTTATTTACCTGCTCAAATGAAGGGTTAATGCACCAATTATATGATGTTTTTCCCCCACTTATTTTTAGATCAGTGTAGTGGTTAGCACGCATGACCAATGTATGGAGGCCTTAGTCCTTGACATGAGCAACCCGGGTTCGAGTCCGGCCTGTGGTCCTTTCCTGCATGTTTCTCCCCCTCTCTCATTCCCCCTATCCTGTCAGCCTAAAAAAACGGGCCGCTACTGCCGTAAATAAAAAAAAAGTTTTGCAGCATATGGTTCTTTTTTTCCATACCTGTCTATGTCTCTGAAAGGGGGGCGTTAAAGGGAATTGTTGGTCTGGCTGAATAGGTGAGGTCTTCTGTTCTCTTGTAAAGGGGTTTTGGGGTTGAGATGATAGCGGGAAGGAATTAACTCTATCGCTGCGTTGTAGGTTTTTTAAAGCGGAAACCTGAGTCCCCCCACCCCGTTTAAGGTTAGTTTTTTCTTTCTTAATATAAAGGGCTTCCTTCACGCCCCTCTCAAACATCTATTTAAACACAGAACAGCGACTTCCTCGGGACAAGACTCTGCGGTACATCTACACCTTATGGACAGAGGACATTGTTTTGAGAACCAGAATGTTCACATTTTGGATAGAGCGGATAGGTGGTTGAGGTTTTCTGTTCCCCTGTAATGGGGTTTCCCCCAGCCCTTTATAGCAGAACGAGCACCTGGCCTCTTCAGCGAGGCCAACAATTCCCTCTAACGCCCACCTTTCAGAGACATAGACAGGTATGGGGCATTGCAGGCTAACAAAAAAACCAAATGACCCCCATTCCAAAGGGGTGGACCCGTTCATCTGTTTCTATTTGCATGTTTTCTAAACAAAAAACAGGCTTTGTTGGGCTGCTGGATAAAACCTGGAACTCAACGCTATTTCTGACATTTTGAATTGAAAAGGCTTCCTGGATGGAAGAGAAACGTTTTCAAACTCGGAAACAAAGTCCAGTGGATTGATTTTAACTTTTTTTGGAATGACTCTGACCTGGATGACTGAGAATCTTCACCATGGTTCTGTTTGTTCTAAAGCTGTCTGTAAAGATTGGCAGTGAGGCGCCTGACGGCTTCTACCAGGTTCTACCACTAAGGACAGAGAAGTCCCGCGGTCCTTTGCAGCTGGGTAAGGACACAGTCAGGTGAACAAAAACATTCATTTATTACGACATCATAAAGCCTTTATGACCGGATATGCAAAGCCTTAAGGCTCATTGATGCTTCTCCTCTTTAATCTCCACCTGGCGTTATGGAAATGATTCACCCACAGTAAGGAGAGCGATAAGTCAACAGACACGTATCTACAACAAAGCCAGACCTGTTGCCTTGCTGAATTATTACAACCTCATCACTAGTTTTAACGTTAGTCTCATTAGAGCTTAAGCAAAGTGAAGGATGCATAAAGTCTATTTATATATATACAAAGATAATGTATAAATACACTACTGTTCAAAAGTTTGGGGTCACATTGAAATGTTCTTATTTTTGAAGGAAAGGCGCTGTACTTTTCAATGAAGATAACTTTAAACTAGTTTTAACTTTAAAGAAATACACTCTATACATTGCTA